GGCAGGAAAACATGAAGTACTGAGTCTCAAAGATTTCCTTAAGCCACATATTTGTTTCCTTGTGTTGGTTCACGTTTGAGGTGTAATTATGGTCCTGGGGTCTGTTGGCGAAACCGTTGACCTTGCCTTTCACTTCACACAAGCTGCTGCCGGCTGAAGAATGCTCTGGGCCCAACGAAGCCCGTCCGATTCTTGTCCATCTTCACCAGAACAGAGTAAACCCGGTCCTTCGCGTCACGTAGGCCCGGAGCTGCGGCTGTACGGAACTTTAACCTGTGGCTCAAAATAGGGAAACCCCAAAATGGAACCCTGGTAAATGGACACAAGCACTACATGGGGCCTATACCCCTGGAACGCAGATGCCTCCGCTCGGTCGAAAAAGTCGGACTTCCGAAGGAATCACCATGTCCGAAAGACTTGTTGATGGCATCCAAGACACTCTTCTCTTCCTACCTTCATGAAACCCGAACCAAGACCCTAAGACCCTAAGACCCTAAGACTCTAAGACCCTCAGACCCTCAACATCCTCCACATCCACCCTGAGCTCCTCCCCGTGCCAACCTGCCAACAACTCCCCATCTCCCGAGTCTCCTCCTCCAGCGGCGCATCGGAGATCGCCAGCGCGCTGGTCCGCAGCAGCGGCCGGAGCCTCGGCTCCGCAGAGATTTTGCCCATTCTCGGGGCGCCTCATCAACCCGTCCCAGTCGTTTGGCGGACGATGGCGATTCTTGGATGATTCTGATGTTTGCTTACGCGTTGTTGTATTCAAGCGGAAAGTACTCGAACGCTTTGCCTAGCCTTGTCCTGCTTGTGACATTAGGGAAATCGTTGGCATGCTTGAAGAGCTGGCAAGCTGTGCTGCTTAAAACCTGTTCCTGCAAGCGACTAAACTTCCAGCTTCCAGTGGTGTGCAAACAGGACTGGTTCTGTCAGAGTACTCCCAAGATCTACTCTTCTTAATCATTCGATGCCTCGAATATGGAAAGATCAGAGTGTCTCTCCTCACTGTTCCCACTCCAAAGCCATCCTTGGACATGACAAACAAAGGCTCAACCAAAGTAGAACTTTTGAGCCTTGCGCAGGGTCATTCGGGCAAACCGTGTCACGTCAATACAAACCTAACATCAGCAAACAATAAACATCAAAAGTCGCCCCACGAGTGACTGAGGATCAAAACCGCGATCACATCTCAAAAATTGACGCCTGTTGGGTTTCTTCTTCTTTTGGGTTGAGTTGCATCCCGTGTCAAATCGGATCCTGAGACTTGGATGAATCCTCTGTGAAATCATCAAGCACTGAGTTTGACAACAGCTCTGCAAGATTAACGCAACTTCAAACCCTCGGTTTTCCTGACCTACCAGCCTTCAACCAAAGTGCAAGGATCCAAGCATCCGAACAGCAACTGGGCCACACTCCAGGAAAGGTAGATGGGCTCATCTTGCAAACCCTTTTTTTGGAGACCCAAGTTGCCCAAGATTTTGAGAATGGATGGTATCGTGACATGGCAAGAGTGTGGTGGGGAGCGAAGAAACAACCAGGTGTGTCATGGTCCAAAAATATCTTTGTCGGCTATGGTCACGGCTCCCTCAATAGATGACCATCCCTGCCATACCCAAGCCAAAGGGAAGTTTGGACGATGGTACGCAATGAAACCCCATGACGTGCCACCAACGTTTCCAATGTTCAGACCTGAGCCCCAGATCTCTCGCATGTAAGTGCCACAGTACTCAAGAACCCTAGCGCCTCCCTTCAAATCGTAGTGCAAGCTTACTCGTGAGGCTCGAGCTCTTGGTAGCTGAGCTTGCCATCTCCTCAGCACGCCGACCCTGGGGTCTGTCGATAACCCATGGCGCTCCGCTTGGGTTGGGACCGTCCCCCAACAACACACCTCTCCTGCGCAACCTCTGCAACCCTTGCGGACCTTGCCAGAAGGAGAAATCCCCAAAAGGGCCTTCATGGGTGAGCTCGTCCCTGTGCTGACAAGAAGCCATTTCGGTCAATCTGATTCCAGGCAGCTTCTGCCTTGGAAACGGAAGGTTGGGGCGCAGTGGTATCAGTGTATTGTGTCTTCGAAGGGAAATCAAGAGGTTTTCTGAGACACACCCAGATGAGCGAGTTCTAAGGTCAATCAATGCGGGGTCTGACTGCGACTTCTTGAACCCATGCGTTTGGCATCGACTTGTGGGGTATTCAGTGACCTTGGTACGAACCATGTCTGCCTTCGTCCGTCCAAGGACTGATTGCCCTCCTCTCAACAAGAAATCAACCACTATCATTCCGTCACAAGTGCCGTCCAGTGGGGAGACATTGACAGCATCACATGTGCGCCTCCTCTTTCGTGGTGACATTGTCCGCCATCCTCGCATGCTAACGCCAGATGAGTCCCAAAGCATCGCAAAATTGTCAGCTGTTCATATTCTGGGCAGTGGGTGTGTATAAAAAAGGGACAACAGCTTGTCGTGCTCCCTGTGGCCTCCCCTTTTCAACGGCCGAACAAGTTCCAAGGAGGAAACCCTCAACAAAGACAAACACCCATCTACACCGAGTCTGCTCAAGGTGACTCTGTGGGTTGCTGCTATTTCCTGGCAGGGGCAGGCTGTCACACCTGCAAAGCACTGTGCTTTCCTGCCACGGCTTCCCTGTTACAGCACCTGCTTTCAATGACCTACAGCTCAGGTAGAGCGAAACCCGAGTCACTGTGTTTTGAGTCAACCTCATGAAGAGAAACAGCCAAAAAACTCGAAAAAAGAAGTAACCAGGCACTCAGCAAGTCGGCAACCAGGAGCTCTCCACTGGGCCCGGGCAGCATCACAGCGCTGCTGTGCCACTGGTCCGCCAGCTTCCGAGACCTCTGAGTCTGCGAGCGACCCGCGATTCGCGGGGCCCGGGAAAACGCGAATCGTGAGCGAGTCCAAGAGAGGCTTCGGCATTCTCCAAAGGCCAATATCAAGCCAAAGCTCGATTCGTTGGTTCAACTATTGCAGGCCCAATGTTCAATCCTACCCTGGTGCTGTGGATGTTGCTTTTTTGTTGTTGTTGTTGTTTTGTTTTTTAATGTTTGGTTCAGATAATGCTAGCATGTTGCGCTTTGTTCTTGGCTGTTGAGGAAGTGATTCGAAATGGCTTGGATGAGTGCTCCAACACTAACGCGATGTCTGCCACTTCCAACTTGAGAGCCCCTCCCGTCACATGGCAGGAGCCTCACTTTCCAATCTGGGCACCTACCCCATCTTGCCAGCGCTCGTGCGGAGTGACGCTGGAGAGATAACCATTTCCCATCCGCAGAGCTTTCCTGGAGCTTACCCCTTTTGGGGTCCGATTCGATGACCTTGCCATCAGCCGACAACCGCAAAAGAGAACTTCGCGACTTGTTTTCTCTCGCCCGAAGATCGCAAGCCTTTCATCAGACTTGCAGGGGCCTGAGTCCTGGCCAATAAGCAAATGGTGCATTCGAAACGCTGAGCCGAGTTACTTGCCTCTGGCACAGCGAATGACCACGGAGTGACGGGGAGGAATCCCAAGTGGAGTTCTTGGGGAGAAAAGAAACTGCTCCAGCAAAATTAACGTTGCGTGTAGCATGGCCAAACTAAAATGAACACCACTTGCGCGTCACTCGCAAACCCACACATGCTTGGCTTGCACCATGAATTCAAGGACACTGCAACAAAAGCGCCTCACCCCTTGGACTCTTGCATTCCGGGTCGTTTCTGTTGCTCAGATCTGGTCGGAAACTGGGTCCTGCCCAAACTTACCACTATTCGGAAGTGCCGCTTCGCGCCCGTGGCAAAGAAGTCGACCGTGACCAAGTGACCAAGTGACGCCAAAATGGGGGGCATGGCCCCGGGGCAGCGCAGCTGGAATCACCTTGGGTTCTCTGCCTCGGAACAACACTCCGTGATCTGTGAGAGGGCATCATCTGGCTGGTCTTTATCGTTTCCCGCACAATGTCTGGGATGGCGACAGCCTCTGGCTGTGAAAGTGCGGTGTCAGCATCGTCCGCGAACAGCTCAAGGTCATGGCCGCCGCGTCACAGCGCGGCAGTTGGCTGCGCAGTGAAGCCACTTGCAGAATCACGGCACTCGAAGACTCCTCGCAGACGAACAGCAGACTCCGCTTCGTTGGATTCTCCGCGCAATGTCCGGCCAAGGTCATACGGCGCTTTCATAGTCATCGGTGCCGAGTGCGTCGGCACTGGCCCTTCATTCTCAGGTTTGTCAATGTGCGCTGAGATTAGAAGATACTGTCGTCAGTGCCTCCGCAACGTTGGTACTGGCATCCGTGCATGTGGGATCCATTGTACCTGGCACTGTGTACCGCCATGCCCATCTCTTTCGACGCCATGTCCTTCAGCTTGCAAATACTGAGATCTTTGACGTAGTTCAATCCTTCTGAGAAAGGCGAGGGTTCGGCCTGTCAAACTTGGTGATCTTATTCAGTGCTGCGACCTCTGTCTTCCTGCTTCCTGGAGAGCGAGATCCAGGCTCACGCCTGCACGCTCAAGCAAACCCCCGCCCGCCGAGACATGCCCGCGTGCTCACCAGCGGCGCCCAGGGCGGAAAGACATACAGCGCAATATGCCACGGCAGATGAGTAAAACTTCAAGAGACTGAGAAAGGTTACATTTTGTGCAAATGAATGGATGTCATTCATCTCTGCTCACTTTGCCGGCACCTGAGCTTCAGGCAAGGCATTCTCGTACTGAGTCAGGTAGGACGCGTAGTTAAAGTTTGTAGACCTGAGAGCGGGAGGGTTCCAAACCAAATGCCTCCCAAAGGTGCTTGGAACACAACAAAGGCCTCCGGCCTAACGTCTCTCACCCAGAAGCCGCTTGTTGGTCTGGTCCGTTCGACTGCATAAGGGTGTTGTCTGAAAATGGGGACCCAAGAAAAAGCAATAGTTTGCTGCTGGCGTCCTTTTGGGCTCCTTTGGGGTTCCTTTTAGGTTTCCTTTAGAACACTCAATATTGAGGGGGATCTCCAAAAAAAGCACCTGGCAGCTTTCTCACCTCGCACGAGTTCGTCTTGAGCAATTTGCCAACCAAGCTTTATACATTGCATGCAAGCGCATTGACTCCTCTGATTTGCAGGGTCATTCAGATCAGCTAATCCAGAGTGAGTTGGGGTAGATGTCACCCTCGTGCTCCGATCACATCCACGTCCTCGTTGGACATCACCTCCGCTTTTTCCACACTTCCCATACCCTCCTGCTCTTCGTCCAGCTGCGCGGAGTAAGCGAATCTCTGACTGTCTTCATTCGGGGCCCACAGCCACATGATGGCCAAGAGGATAAACCTCGGAAGCCAATCACTCCAAAACATCGTCCCCGTCCTCTTCTCACGACTGGGAGTGATTTTTAGAGGTGATGGGGAAGTTATATCTCCAACTGGAGATGTGCAAGAAGATGTGGAATGACTCGTTGAAACACCACCTCGCACAACTCATGCTTCCATATGCTCAAAAGAGAACATCTTTGAGCTGGGCATTTGCTTGTGAACGGCAAAGCATTCCCACAAATATTCACATCAAATTGGGGCTTGGCTCGCTTTTTCTAAAGCGGTGCGCGCAGAGCCGCAAGACTTTCGGCACTGTTTGTTTGAGTTTGGCAGCATTTCTACCGTCTGGCATGGCTCCTGATCTCGTGCTGAACAGGTCAATTGCCACACGCTTTCATCTCAGGCTCTCGTATCAGGCCGTATGTCGCCCACAAGTGGGCCTCGTCATGCTCTGTGCATGCTGACGCCTCTCTTCCGTTGTCGAGTTTCTGAAGCTTCCGAGTGTTGCTCACTTCGGGTTGGCATTTGGCACCCTGAGTGAAGTTTCGGAGGTCTGGAGCCCAAGCCGCAGCCAACAGGTGTTATATTGCAAACCAACATGCTCATGTTGCAAAAAAAAACATGCTCCAGGCCCATACGCAGCTGCTTTCTGCTGGAGAAGTTGAAAGCTTCATGCGCAAACACGGTCAGGTGTCCACGACTGCGGAAACACAAGGCCCGTCGTTTGGTCGGAGAAGGGTGGCTGCTTCTTGGGTAGCCCCCGAGCTGCCTTCAAGCGGTGCGGGGAAGTGTGGTGTGCCACCTATTAAAACACAGCACGAGTTCAGATGATTCTGGCAAGTTCAATCAGAGTGGATCTGCGATCTGTTTCCACAGGCTTGTGAGAGAACCAGCCCAGCAAGTGAACAGCCAGATCTCTGGACTCCCCGACCTGGGAAGGCAAGCACCGCGGAGTCGCTTATTGTTGAACAAGCAGCAGGAATCCACCCTGTGGGGCGCCGTCCGTGACGAGCCATTGCTCCTGCCATCTCGCTTCGGCGTCGTTGGCGAAAACGAAGATCTGCGCTAAGAGAACCACCACGGCAAAGGTAATGGACAGCACAAGGATCCTAGGCATTGAGCTGTCGCAGGCCAAACGGCTCACATCCTAGCTCAGGATCAAAACATCTCTCAGGACTCGGCATGTCGTTGTTTTGAAGACACCCAGAAGCAAGCTTGGCAATGTTTTGCAAGTTGTCCCCGTCAGAAATTCTCGAGGGATTGGTGGTCAACTGTATTTCAAAATGCCTCTCTAATTAATTCAAGTGGGACATGACACACTGTTGGCAGTGGAGTTGTGGGCTTGTTTGTACTCCGGAAACCGGGTGTGTGTCGGTTGGCTCGGTTCACTTGCGGAAACCTGGTGATATTTGTGTGCCTGAGTGCGTGTACGCTTGTGGGTATCAATCTGAGTTGGCTGGGTCTTGAAAGTGAGCCACTAGCGGGCTCTCGTCGCTTGGCATTGTGTCCCGAAGTCCCGCACCTTTGTGGACCTAGCAGGCCATATCAGTGCTTGATTGTTTTGGACGGTAGTTACTTCTGTTTTTTGCGGGTTTCCGGACAGGGAAACCAAAGGGGAGCTGAGTGTTTGTGTCGCCAAGACTCCACCAGAGCCGCTTGAAGAGCGCGAGCTTGGCTTTCTGGCCCTGTGCCTCCAAAGTCTCCATGAGATTTGTGAGGGCTGAGAAAATCCAGTAAAAGATGCCACCGTTCATCATGGACACCGGAAGAAGGCAAAGAAGCACGAAAGGAATTGGCACTGACTGCGTGTGCCGGAAGGACAGCACTACTTCCCGCACCACATTCAGGATGATGTACACTATGGAAATGCAGGAAATGCGGCAGATCGTTCCGCCATCCAAGATGGGCTTGGTCACTCCCCAGCCCAAGCACGCCGATAGAACCAGCATGTAAGAAAGCGTCGACTTTGTGACAGATACCAAAACCGAGATGGAAAAGAATGGCTTGCTTGCTAGTCCATCCTTGTTCCAGGCTGAGAGGTAGAAAAACCACACTGCGCTTTCAAGGATGCCCAGGAAGGTGACAAAGCCAATGGCCAGGTGTATGTTGAAGAGAACCTTCCACCATCTCAGACACAAAAGGCTCCAAACCAGGAAGATTCCCAGGCACAGAGCGGCGAGAATGCCGTAGAAGGGCATCTTCTGATACTCATTGCCGGGCAAAAAGCCATGGGAGTTCCTCACGACCACTTCCCCGCTGATGGTGGCCTTGTCGAAGCTGCCGCAGTTGGAGAGGACCAAGAAGTACACACCTCCGCAGTCGAAACTCTCTGAACTGAGAACAACACAAACTCGTTGATTTCCCTTCTGCTTCTTTAAGTGGGGGTTGGCGTTTGCAACCTGTTCTTTTGGAACGAAGTCTCACCTCTTCCTTGAACAAGCTGCTTCTCATCGGGTTCCTTCTGGTAAAAGCTCACCTGGTGGCGGTAGACATGCACGGACTCCAGAGACTGGCCCGGAGAACGTTTCAGGATCAAATGATCCTCTTTCTTGCTGAGGCCTTGTTGGACATCCTCCGTGTTGGAGCACATCCGACTGGTGTCCACCAGATTCCACAAATCTTCATACCTAATCATGTGGATCTGGAACCCCTGGTAGCCCTGACAGGTGGAAAACCAACTGTTTGCGATTTGAACACATGAATCACATGAAACAAATATCCCCAGTGGAACCTCAACATCTTTTGCTTCCCGTGACACACCGGTCTCTGTAAACCTGTAAGCCGGACTTTTCTTGCTGGTGCCCAGCAGGGTCCCTGAGACATGGAATCGGACACTCGTTGCCATTCCCTATCACATCCTTTTAGGCCGCTTCATTATCCCAACACCAAAAGCTCAACACATTCCCTGCCTACCTGGCCATAGGTCAAAGCCAAATCGTACCCCCAGTGAACATCCCAATCCCCACTAAAATAGGTCCGAAAATGGTGAATTCACCTACCAATAACCACTATGGGGTACCCCAAAACGTTTTTGACCACCACAGCCACCCAAAACTCAAAACATTCCCTGCCTATCGCGCCAGATGGCCAAGTTCTTTGGTCAGCCCTGCCTTGAGGGACTCATCGCTCTTTGCCGGATCTGTGGATGTCACTGTGAGCCCCCGGAACTCCACGTAGGGCGGGGCCTTGGTGACGTTGGGGGTCTGGCCCTCCGCGGACAGGAAGTACACATACAGCAGGTTCCTTCGCTTGATCCCCCAAATATGTATATATAAATAAATATGTATGTTTCTGTGTTTTCACCGTATATATATATACCTTGGAAACGATTGCAGGAGTTTAACTCATGCCTACGGAATGTAGGAGTTTTACTCCCATGCAGGAGTTTTACTTTCAGGCTGAAATCATCAGGTTGCTCCTGGCTCGAGGGGGAAGGGAGGGCAGCAATTTAATCAGTTTATCGTGCGTGCACGTAACATTGCATTGTTTGGTTGCAGGCTTCATGAGCGCCCTTTTTCTAAAAGATCGCTAATCACATTGAAACTGGCTCTGAAAATTAACAAACATATGCATGCATGCATAGATGCATCCAGGGGCAAGGTTCGGGTTGATGCCATGGTGGGATGTTGAAGGCCCTTCGGAAAAGCTCGCTACTCAGATCGCATGCGCATGTGCACACATGCAACGCATGCATGTTGCATTTTACAATCATACGATCGCTCAGGGAAACGGGATCTTCAACTGACACAATGCGATCTGCCACTCATGCATGCATGCACGCACATGGTGTGGTATCTGCCTTTGGCACAGCACACGCATGCAATTTTTGTTTGCATGCACGAATGCATATGTTAACTTGCAGGACTTCTACACCGACTACCGCAAGACAAAGTGACTTCCGCTGGAACCGGATGGCGTTCTTGGCCCAAAAGCAGGGACCAAGCTCACACGCTCGCTGGTGGACGGCGCAGACCCCCCGGCATGTTTTCATCCCAAAACGGCTAGCTCTTACTGCAGTAATCCATCGTATCAGCGAAGCTTGGGGTTTGGGGTTTGCGTTTGCACTTACTGCGATCAATGTGACGGATTAATTTGTTTGCAGTCACACGCTACGCACACACACACACACATGTTACGCTGCCAGGCGCCGGTGGAGTTCTCCTTCGCGGATGTTCATGCAGAGAAGGGCATCAGTGAGGACATGGCGCACCCGTCCTGTTTGCTGTGTGCGTATTAATTGCCGCTCACCCCGCATTCCCCCTCCCTCCCTCGTTCCCAGCATTCACAGTCCACACACGTTGGGTTCAGTACGGAGTGAGTTACTCTAGCTGCAAATGATAGCACGGGCATGCGTGGTGATACGTCGACGGCATGCGTGTGGGGGGCGCCAGACGCAAAAAGACGTGAACACACGCTTCCTCACGCAGTGGCTGCCAAGCTTTGCGCTGGACGTGCCAACGGCGTGACCGATCGAATTGCCTCCGTGCGTCTGATGTTTTTTGTTGGTCGATGCGTGTGTGGCCTAGCACTCAGGAAGCTCTGGCGGAGGCGGCCGTCGAAATGCGGCTGGTGAGCAGCAAGAAGGTTACCTCTGATGCGCTGGAGAGATGTGGGCTTGCTTATTTAATCAACGATTTGCCCCAAGCAACATTGCAATCAAAAAGAAACACATCACACGCGCGCAGGCATGTTGCAATTTGAAGTAGAATGATTGAAATGTTCACATGCAACGCGCACACAACATGCACGCACGCACGCAGTGCGTACTGCGGCTGTCACCCAACGCTGCGTGGACAGGAGTGGGCACAGACAGGGCAACCTGCGCCACGCCCTTGCGAGCAAGATCTTGGCGAACTACGCCAACCGAAAATCTGCGAGGCCCACGTGCGCATGCGCTTACCCAATCTCATCGCACGCGCGCCTCACGCATGCATGTGTGCAGCATGTACGCACAACACGCACGCCGGGAACACTTTGAAGCAAGCGGCCAGGTCCAAAGAGGGCAACACGCACAGACTGCCCTGCAGAAAGTTAGAAGGCTGAGGGCTGAAGAAGGCGGATGCCTTGGTGAAGAAGGCTGAGGAGAGCTGAAGAAAGTTGAGGAGCTGGCGCTTGATAAAGAAAGCGGCTGCCTTGGTGAAGAAGGCTGAGGAGCTGAAGAAAGCTGAGGAGCTGAAGGAGCTGCAAAAAGCTGAGGAGCTGGAGAAAGTGGACTTGGTGAAGAAAGCTGAGGAGCTGAAGAAAGCTGAGGAGCGGAATAAGCTTCAGAAGGCGGAGGAGCTGAAGCTGAGGAGCTGAAGGAGAGGAGAGAAGCTGGGTTGCTGTGAAGAGGCCGTCAAGAAGTTGGAGGAGGCACTGCAGAAAGCAATTGCAGCGAAGAATGCTGCCTTAGAGGGGTGCAAAGCCGATGATGCTGAGAAGCTGCCGACAAGCGCCAGCTGGAGATGGAGCGGAAGAAGCGCGATCCCCACGCCCGCTACATGCGCTACTACAGGTCCGTCCGAAGCCGGCGCCCTAATGCATGCGTGTAAGACATGTTGATAAGCAAGCATGCATGCACACGTGCGCAGGCATGTGCGCACGCACACACGCCATGCGCTCAGACCCCAAGACACCGCTGGAGCTGATGAGCCGTGAGGCGCACGGAAGCGCCTTGTCCGCAGACTACAAGTTTCATATGCGTCGAACACTTGCACACATGCATGATTCGTGCATGATCATGCACGCATGCATGAATGCATATGATGAATGCGCCTGTTCACAGGGATGCGTGTGAGATTACACGCCGCTACACTCACATGATTGCATCATGCGCAAGGCTCCAGCTTGAACTCCGTGTGACGCATGGGCAGCGTGCGCTGGGCAGTGGGCGAAGAGCACGTTTCTGGAGCAGAAACGTAGGCGACAGGCATCGCTCCACCAGCGTGGCACAAGGCGCTGGTTGACGGTGTCGGAGATGGATGGACGAGATGTTTGGGGAGCCTTCCGCGTCTCAGTCATTTCCTGACCCTGCTAAACAACCGCGAGGTGGATGAGCACTGTGAGGAGGTGGACAGGCTCTTCAGCTGCCTTGATGGCGGGCGGAGCTCCAGCAGCAGCAGTTCGAGGGCCAAAGCCAAGGCCAAGAAGCAGAAGCGGGGCAGCCATCAGACTGCGGGCAACTCAATGCATCGCATGGCTTGGCTAGCAGCAGATCAGGAGAAGACAAAGAAGACAAGAAGAAGAACAAGCCAGAGGCCGGCAAAGCTGATGACGAAGGGAAGGAGCTGGTGAAGTCCGCGAAGAAGGCGCTGGTGTGTGCATCGATCATCGATTATTGAAGTCCGATATCAAAACTGCAGGCCATCGCTGGCGCCAGCTACAAGATTGCTTGGGCGATGTCCTTGCGGCCGAACATGGCCAACTTGCGAGACACTCAGATCAGAAAATTGCACCATTCACACATGTGTGATGTGACACATGCTGCAGGGCGGACAACTACGCGGGCTCGGTTGGCAAGGACATTGACCAGATCTCTGTGTCCACACCTTTGAAACAGGTCTGTCCTACATCAAGTTGTTCAAGTAGATTCGGGCGCAAACATGTTCTGGGAAACCTAGTGCCCAAGTTGGCAAATCATGTCTTTGGTTTCTAGCGCTGATCCAACGAGATTAAGTGAAAACAACTTAATTGAGAATTAACACTTTCTGGTCGATGCCGGGCGTATTGATCGAGCAACTGGGCACCCACACGCACAGGCACACGCGTGATGAGAAACCTACTTTTTGGGTTTCTTGTTGGGCTTTATCGGGGCGCATGCCTGATCCCACATCTGCCTCGCGCTCTCACAGCTTCGCGCCAGCTCGGGAGACACCTGCCACATCATCGTGCACGCAAAGCATGCAATTGACTAGTTGGGTGGTGTTGTTGACAGTACTGACTAGACTGATTGATTGATTGATTGGTCGATGCACTGACGGAGTTGGTTGATTGATGTCATTGATTGACTGGTGGATCGATTGACCAATAAATTTGTTGGCTGGTTGAATTGGCCAACGTGGACTAAATCGATTGGTCCATATTGGTCCAGTGTCTGCTTCCTGGAAAGGTGTTGCACCAACACGCACAAAACTGTCTTCGAACAGGCTAGCGCAAAACGGCTGTCATATGTTGTTTGATTGACTGACTGACATATTCATCATTGTTTGATTGGTTGATTGGTTGATTGGTTGATTGGTTGATTGGTTGATTGGTTGATTGGTTGATTGATTGATTGATTGATTGATTGATTGATTGATTGATTGATTGATTGATTGATGCATCGATGGGTCGACTGCATGGGATCAAGCAGGGTCACACGCACGTGCATGCATGCGCAGGCGGATGACTGCGGCTCCTGCATTTCGATTGGCAAGGCGAGGTTACCGAGGCCCGATCTGAGTGCAATTTATATAGTTGGATACTCCCCAAGCTGCAAAATCCGAGTCGCATAGCATGCGTGCACGCACATGCATCGCGGTTGAGAGTAACGATTCGTGACCTTAGGGCCTCAAACACAATCTCATTCCCCGACCTCGCGCTGCCGTGAAGATAGGCTACAAGTTGTGGCAAGTATATACAGCAACTGCAGTCCACCCATGTGCATCATGGTATATATGCATCCTGCATCTCATGATCATAACCGGGGTAGTCGGCCAGCATGACTTTGTACCACGATTTCATCCGGCTGGATGAGCGCCGCAATGTCCACTTGCGGCGGCAAACCAAACGTGTAGCCTTGCTGTTCCAACACGCGCCTCAACCTGAGCCTCGGATTGGCGCCAGCACCGGTTCATCATGCAGCACCACCGCCGGTTCATCATGAGGCGCCGCCGGATCATCATGCAGCACCCCAGCCAGCTCATCAGACTTGTCAGTGGGCTCGCTGAACCTGCAGGGTTCAGGAACGATACAAATTTGGTCGTACATATATGCATGCGCGTGTGTGCATCACGAACAATACCAGTTGAGCCGTGGAACGCGAAGTCTGACCACGGGCGAAGCGATGCTGCATAGTTCGTGGAGGAATCATCATCACCCTTGCATGTGCAGTTTAAATGCGGTGACTTTGCTGCATGCGCACGCTGAGCACGGCTCGGCACATCCTAGGCAGGCTTGCAGGGCGCAATCCAATTGCTCAAGCACCCAGGAACAAAACACAACCCGACACAGGTGAAATGTTTTGCACAAACAAAAAAGTATTGAGCACATGGAAGTTTCGCAGCCCTGCATTACGTTGCGCGTAGTGCCTTGCAGTGGCTGCGCCCGTCATGTCACCATATGCTCCAATCGAGAAAATGGTAGCCCAGCGTGCGTTGCGCCAAGCGGGCCATTGGACCTCCATGCATGCTGCCGCATTGGATGTGTCTTCTACATGTGATTCTTATTCCTGGAGGTGCTGATGCGGGGCCTGCGCAACGCGACATCGTTGAGAAGATCGCAAAAGGAGCAACATGTCCAGCATGCATGCATGCATGTGCAGTTCTGCAGTTTTGCGTCAGTTTTCAATATTGATTTATACTAATAGCCACAAGCTGAGCAATGCAGCAATGAGCGCTGCTAGAGCGTGCTACGAAGAGTCTTGTACAAACTAATCGATTAATTGATGTTGGCTAGCTCGTGTTGGCAATTAGTTGCAAATCGCATGAGGAATCTGGTGGAGTTGCCACTACATGGACGTCATCCCTGGCCTCGTGCCGTGCCGGGAACAACAGCTCTCGGAAATTTCTATCGAGCCTTGGATCTACCCTTGGCTTCTTGGCTTGCTACATTTGTGCGTGGGTCTGCGCCACGCTTCGCGTGGCACATGTTGAGTGGCTAAGTGAGCATCATGTCACGATGATTATCCTCACATCGTGCACATCATTGAATCATACTGCATGCGTGCCCGCGCATGCAATTTCTTAATCAAAGTGTCAAGGGCACTGGTCCCAACGATGATGTGGGCTATGCAGAGGCGCCTGTGCAGCTACCACATCGCATTCTGGAATTTCAGGTTGCTGAATGAGTTTGCAAATCCCTATTGACAACTCTTGGATGACATGTCGGATGAGGTTGCTGCAAATTCTCTCCAATTTCGGGCTGCTTGCAGTGAACAAGTTTGGCCTCTGGGGATTCACGGGGACGAAGAAGCGATGCAGCTGAACAATGCCCCGTACGATGCGGTGTGGCATTTGGCTAAACTTGGTACTATTTTGCCCTGGCTGTCAAGGTTCCTGTTGCGCTCAGTGGAGAGCACCGAGATGCTGACAGCGGAGGCCACATTGTTCCCCATACTGGAGGTGCTTGTAAACAGCCTCAACCTGGCGACGGAATCTGGGGCAGCAGGAAAACGGTTTATTTGCGGTTTATTTGCACCGAGCTGCGAGGTGACCAAGCTTGGTTTCGCCTGTTATTTCGACACAAATCCTGGCGATTGCACGAAATATTTGCTTTAGATGCCAGGCTTGCGCAAGCGAGACGCCACTCAACTATTTGCATTACAACGGGGCCTGGCTGAACACACTTCGGACAACACGCGATGCGATTCTTGGTGAATTCCCTTTTCCGTTGCGCTTTTCGGACTGAATGAGTTGTTGCATGCGTGCAGCGCAAGTTAAGGTAAGGTCCAAAAGGCAATTATCTTGCCCAGCTATCCGAGGCCCTTTGGTTGATCTCTACTTTTTTAGTGTGTGGAGAACACTGCACACTGCATATTGTCAACCTGACGCTCCTGGGTGTCTCACATGGATCAAGTTTGCGCCCTGGCAAAAACTGGGTTATATTATACTTGTTGATCTCTGTTTGTTGCAACATTGCAAGCACCTGATCCCATGCAATGTTGCACTGGTGCAAACGCATGCCTCCAGAGCCGTTGACCAGGGAGCTGGGCCATCTATGTGCACGTGCTTTTGCTGATTTTTCATCTTGGCGGAGATCGATGCGGATTCAGTGTTCTCAGAAGGGGTTCAACTACTATGGCCTCTATAGGGAGGAGTTTGGTGAATTTTTGAATTGCAATGGATTTAGCACAAGGGTGGTCAGTGAGTGGTTGTTGTGGTGACAAGGCTTGTGCAACGCGACTGGCCGGCGAACCTTGCTTGTTGAATGCCAACAACACCATCACGCACTTTGATGATCGGCTTGATCTCTGCAGAGTTGCTTTGAAACATGTCACCATAGCTTGCTTTTAGCGATAAATTTGTGTGCCCCCTAGTGAGTCGATCCACCTGGCACGCACGTGACGTGCAATTTACAAAGGACTGGCATCAACCGGCACTTTCTGAGCGCGCCTCGCGGATTCTGCCGCTTCGCCAGCTTTCGCGTGGCAGGGGAGGTGGCATGGGTACTAAACTTCACCATCAAACAAAGCGGGACCTCTAATGCAACCAGTGAAATTTGGGGGGCCACATCTGCATCCAAGTTTTGCTGGAAGTTTGAAGGCTCCAGGCCCCACGCATGCATGCATTATATTGCATATCTGAAACAATCGGTTTCATTGTCTCTTTGCAGTGACGTTGCTTGCTGGTATGTGTGCACATGCTGAACAACATTTAGCGCTATGCGTGCTATGCGTGCTATGCGTTCCTGAGGAGTGTGCGTCAGGCTTCAGAAATGGAACGGGCTGCTTCCCTCTTGGCCTACTTGGAGCTCAATGGCTAAACACGCACTTGGCATTGAGTCACGCAGCATGCTGTATGCGCCTGGAAACCGAGTGTCAGCGTTGCGAAAGGTTTGCCATATCAGGCGAGGAGATCTTTGCTGGGTGATTACCCCAAAGTGGCATGCGGCTGGGCGGCGTCATTACATTGACCGCGCAAGCCCGACAAGGCCTTGTCGCAAGTGCTGCAGCAAACGGTTCTTGCACGACGTTGCTTGGCCAAATCGTGTGATGCGTGCGAGTCCAATGTTTGAATCACCCTTCCATTGTTGCATCACCTGAGGGAAAAATCCGAGATACACGCACACCTTTGTTGATGAGGACCAATTGTCAGTTTTGAAAGGCGCGATCCGGTGATTGACCAAAATGGTGTGTGTGTGTGTGTGCATGTGTGTGCCGCCGGCCAGGCTGGGCGAGACGGAGTGACAACAAGAAATCCCGAGCCAAAGCTGGCCGTGAAAATGGGATTATGAGGTTTTCACGGGTTTGGCTGGCCACAATGCGCTGGCTGATCCCAAAGCTGATGTTGCAGTGCGAAGTGAGAAGGTGAAAATGCGTGGTTCAACATCGTAGTGCATATGTTTGACCGGTAAAACATCGTCGGGGTAAGTTAAGCTTCGACACAGGGTTTCCAGGGTATATGTAGTCATATATAGAAATATATACATATCTACATATGTGCACAAATGCATTATGTCGATCGCTCCAAAAAGCCACAAGTCGAAGGGTATGGGAACCGAGGTTCAAGGACTTACTCTCCGGCACGGCCTCCTTCTCGAATTTGTAGACTTGTGCCCTCGCGAAGCCAATCAGCAGCCAGAGTCTCCACATGGCTCCGCGGCTCGGCTTGGAAGGATCAACTGACCGAATGACCGACTGAGTGACTGCATTTACTGTGGACATTGTGACCTGTGACATACGAGTTTCGTCCAGGTCCTTCTCTGCTTTTCCCTGGAGCCGTAAATCGAAGAAGTAGGCAAAAGCGATGGAAAGAAACGGCTCGTGGAAATTCTCCGGAATACTCTCCGTCTAACCCATGCCACTTTGTTCCCAATATGGTTGTCTGAAGCTCCTGGCCCCCCATTCCGCAGCACGATGGCCGTCAGCCATTCCTCAGAGAGCTTGGAGCAGCGAGCTTCCAGATTTCAAGCTCCTTTCTTGGGCCGGCGCCCACGGGAACTCATCATCAGCCACCACCTTCAGGCAGAGCCCAAGTATTAGCCTTTGTCTTCAATGGACCCTCTCCGTTTTGGATGATAGAATCAATTGACAACGTGAGGCCAGCCTCAAACCGCCTGCCTATCAGCATCCTCTCTTCATGCTATGCCGCTACGCTTTTTCTGGCGCTTGAGGCAGCGGCACAGGCTCGCATTGCACGGGCCCAATCAGCCACGGGCACCATGCCTGCACCGACTTCAACTCCCCTGAATCCAACTTCAGGCTGTTCCGTACGCGAAAGAAACATGAGCACGTCACTGATGCTTTGGATGTCATGATCCCAAAGGCACAAGCCTCATTTTTGTTTGTCACACTTGGAAAATCGGAAGGCCCCTGCCCCGAAGGCCTTCTCCGGCAATGTCGATGCGCTGCCAGAAGGTCATAAGCTTCGGCCGTGAGCAATAGATGAGCTCGCGCCTCACGAAGTCGGCAAAAGATGCGCCGAAAAAGCAAAGCCCCGAGTGGCCCATGGACGAAAGGCAACACATTGCCGACGACATGTGCTCTGGCACCACAGCTCATTGACTCGGTCAGACTCTCGCGATCGATCCGCAGACCCAAGCGCCAAGCAGCTTCGCCATGGCCCGTGCTCGGGGTCCAACCTTGTGCTGAGACGATGCAACTTATACCATGTGGCACCCATCCAGCTTCCACTGGGCCTGCGGCGGCTTGATTCGCCTCACGCAAAACTGAGCCCGGGGCCCCAACCTCTTATCCATGGTGGCATTCAGTGTACAATCGTTCTGGGTTGCCTTGACCCAGTCATTTTCTGGCCAAAAGATATCTTACCTACGTCCAAAATTAGTTGCTGGGTTTATATGGTTCCTCATGAATAGCTAATAGCTTCAAACTGTGTACATGTGCTATTGGACTTCTTCTTTCCTCGTCTGTGTCGTGCTTGTCTTGCAACTACCAACAAGTCCAACATGATTCCCCAGCCTGAGACGGACAAAGAGATACAAAGAGTGTAGAGACGTATGCTTCGCAAGAGCCAAACAAAAGGGGCCCGGACCCTTTGGGTTCCACGTTGGGAGGGTAGGAGGGTACTCATTTCCTTGCTTGGCCGTGAGCTCACACTGCCGTGCCTCCACCTGCTGGAATCTGGTCTTCATCTCCAAGCTCATGCCATGCCTTGGGCAGCGGCTCAGTTGACTTCAGTTGACTTCAGTTTACTTCAGAAGCAAAAGCCTGGCTTTTCAAAGGGCCACGACCAGTAGCGCCATGGCTGAAAACAAGAGCTCACAATAGCACGACCCTGCCGGCCAAACGCCTCCCTGGCTCACATATCACCTTCACTAAATCGCCAAATCGCCTTCACATCTGCCGGGTTCCTTGGCCTCCAAACAGCTATGGGAGAAAAGGGCGGGAAAGGGTGCCAGGATCCACCAGGCCAAATGGCTTGCTTCCTCAATATGCTTGCTGCGCCCCAGTCCCCCCGCTTTTTGTGGTAGAAACAATCTGCTTTTCCAGCCGACTCCCAAACAAATCCGACTCCAAACAAATCCGTCACCGACTAAGCCAAGAGGCTCATGGAAGGCATCGTCGTCGTAGGCTTCCCGCCAGGGATGCGACTCGGCCTCCGATACGCTGCACCGAGGCCGTCCATAGAGGCTGCCAAAGACATTTGGCCCTATATGCATACAGTATGGATCCTGCCCAGAGGAGTTGGCTTCGAACAGGGGACAATGCGAAGATGGCCAGTTGAGAAATCCTTGTGCTATTCTGTGCGAGTGTGAAGGCAGTAGACGCATTTGCGTCATAGTCAAAACCAGGTTTTTATAAAATCTATCCAAAAACTATGTCAAAAATCCAACGGTCCATGGATGGGACTGTCCCCAACTAAACTTCTCTGCCGAATGGGGCAGGCGAATGGGGCAGGCGCGATGGTGGATGCCAGCGATCGGCCCTCCTGGAGACACCAACACGCCCACCAAAAGCGCAAAAGCCAGAGTTGGAACGACTAATGTTAAAAGACTGCTGTTGGTTCCACTTTTGCGGGGTACCGGGGTCTGGCTGATTGAGTCATGTTTGCCCAACCCAAGCGAAATCCTCTCTTCCAGATAGCAGCGCCGGCAGCAAGGTTGTGCAGGCACTGCGTTGGCCTTCTTGGCTTTCTCTCTCTCTCTCTCTCTCTCTTTCTCTCTTTGCATGACTTTATGTCACGGCTCCTTTCGCCGCCTCTCACTTTCTACATGAGAAATGCCGGGTAGTTTTGCACTCTGCTTCTGTCACTCACAGATTTATTGGATGATGGCTCCTGACAGATTTTCCCTGCATGCATGTTGCAGTTGGCTTTGGTAAAATCCGCGGCTCTCTGTACAAAGTGCAGATTATGGAGCTTCAATGAACCTCTCGCACTAAGCAGTAGACTGTCTCTCTCTCGCTCTCTCTCTCTCTCGCTCTCGAATCACAATTCAAGCCGCCATTTTGATTTGTTTTACAATGGGTGTACCCTCCAGAAAGTGGTGGGTGCTCTTGGGTTTCGCACAACAGTCTCAAGAAGGGTACCTTCAAAAAAGCGGCACGCACTTTTACACCCGTTTCTGGATCAAATCAGTGTGCCCCTCCCAGCCCTCCCCCAAATGATGGCGAATAGACGAATAGCCCTTCACCCTTCGATTCTGCAACCCTTGTGAGGGGTTCGCTTCAAATCCCTACCTTGCGACCAGTCAATGCTTGGCCCACTCCACCCCAGCGCAGATCCTCCATGCGCAAAACCACCACAGCAGCCTTGTTACCAATGGGCCTGGGTTCAAAGTGAAGCAAAAGCCAAAAGGCTCCGGCGGAGATTTGCGGTTGCCAGGGTGCGGAATCTGTGCCAGTTACCAGTTTGCCAGGGTGCGGAATGCTCAGCATGGTCTCCTTGAAACAAACCAAATTACCAACCCTTCCGAACCAACCTGAGCTCTGAAGCCCATAGGACTGCAAAACTCTGCCACGTTCCCGCAAAGGACACTCGCGTTAGTTGTGAGGCAGTGACTCCCCTGCGCCGCTGGGGTAGTTGCCTCAGAGCGCAGGACGCAGAGACCCAGTTACACCTCTCGAGTCAAATCTCGGACAGTTCCGTGTCCTGACAAAACTGATGGATTCCAAATCCAAAAACCAAACTGAAAACAATGGAATCCGAACTCACCAGGACGCCCCGGCTCTTGCAACTGAGGCTTCACACCTCCCAACGCCAGTGCATCCAAAGCCTTCATGAATGCACCATACTGGAACAGCCGTCCAATTCTTGGAGTTTGCATATGGGTTTGTCTTAAAATAGGGAAGCCTACTTCGCACAAAGGTCCTCCAAGTCAGCTGGCCAGCCACCCCGTCATGGCAATTCCTCCTTTTCCCAGCCAAAAAAAAATGGCTCCAAGTGTGAGAGCTCGGGCTCCAGCTGGCAGAGAAGACCGTGGCAGACATCAAGCCCATCCTGGTAGATCGGTGCTCCTCACGCACATTTGGCGGGTCAGAACCAGCGGAGATACTGCGCGACTGACCTGCACCGCCAGTCGCGCAGTGGCAGTCAAGGGCCCCCTCCTTTGAAGGAATATAGATGTAAAGTAGCAGGAATCTTATTCGACGAAACCTGCATTGCTAATTTCTTAAGCGCTCTCCTTAGTAGCCACAGTTGAGGAGGGCAGTGGGTTGCTTCAATCTCTTTTGCAATTCGCCTTTTCCGTCTGGAGGCTGGATGTGGTCGTGTCTTGGGGGAGCTCTTTTTGCCGGTTGTCTCGTTGAATTGGTTGTCTAGAGTCCCTTTTGTCGAGCGGAAGACCGTCCTCTCAAGAGGAAATCCTCGCTGTTCGTGGGAAATCCAGCATTTGTCCGACTCGGCAGTCTAGAAGAAAGTCCAGAAATGCCTGATTTTTTGCTCACCCGTAGAGTGCGTTGACCATGGCACATGGTCAGGGTTGCCGAAAAACCCAAGGCGTGTCTCCCGATTCGTGCCGAAAACGTGGCCAGCGCTGTCCTCCAGAAAGCCCTCGGCTCGCTTCTCATGGGACCGCAACCTTGGAACCGTTGGCCGGGGCCGGGTTCATTTCCAGGGGTTTTGGGAAATCCACTCACCTTTGGGCTGAAGTCACCCGAGGGGTCCAAAATGGAACCCCGGTGAAACTGTACCCCTCCCCGAACTATTGAAATTTCGGGGGTCACCCGGTCTCTGCCTGCTGCTTGTGGAACTCTGGTCAATGTTCCACTCTCTGGGGCGTTGGGTATGAATTCTGATTGGGGACCCTGTAAAAAGCAGACGCATGTCCACCAACTGCTTTTGAGGGTGCTGCATTGTCCACGGTCCACTTACATAGAACCCACCGGAGGGTCTCTTTTGCAAAACAGTATCCCCCACTTCAGTAAGTTGCATGGCTACGTGCACAGAGTGGCCATACGAGTTGGCCATTCCGTTTGCGCTGGCTTCCTTCAGTGCTTTTGCTTCAAGCGCTTCTGCTCCGCAGGTCGTTGAGAAAAAATTGGCAAGCCAAAGGCCCCCCGCCAAACCAAAAAAACTGGGGACGCTCCCTGAAACCCTCATCCTTCAGCGGGTTGCCAGCTTGTGACTTCTCGTGAATAGCTCTACCTTATTTCGAACCCAAATGTTCGGCACCCATCGAACCGAGGTCCGGGCAACGTTGCAACAATGTGCTTAGAGGTCAACCGAATT